CAGGATTACTCGTTGCGAATCGTATCGCGCCAAGGGGGAAGGGGAAAGAAAGAGAGAGAGAAATTCGAAGAAACATCCAATCAAGGAATTATGGGTAATTCAGGGATCTCGGACGAAGGGGTTAGTGCTCCCAGAGGGGACGACGAAAGGATCTTCACCCTGGAACTACCTAAGCCAGTCGATACGACTGGTTTCTTGTACACGAAAAAAATCCACCGGTCGACTGAAAAGTACGCGGTTTTAGGAAGGGATTTTCCCGGGGGGTGTATCGGTATAAATTAAATCTCGGATGGAAACACCATCGGGGTGAAAAAAGAGAAAACTCGTGCTTATCCCAAGCGTCTTTCGATAGGAGGAAGAGAGAGCGGGACGGGGGTCCTCGGGGGCAAAGTGCTCCCGTAATTCGCCTAGGCTAAAAGTTCAGGACGAAGGGGACTGACGGGGACGGCGCGGTCGACGCAAGGGGGGGGGGGGGGGGACGCGGGTTACGGAACGAAGTTCGCCAGGATGATTCATCTCCGTTGGGAGAGGGCGCCCCCAAGGTCGGCGACGAATGCCGTTGGGTCGTTCTCGTTGCGGGACGATCGGGATTCCTCCGCGCAGGAAGGGGATAACGGTTCGCCGCTGCCGTACTCGCGGCCGGTAAGGCAGGCCACCGCGGCCGGTCCCGTCGCGCTTGGCAACGTCGCCGCGCCGACCTAACCTCCCTCCGAACATCCTTTCGATAAGAACGCACGGCGGCTACCGGCTCTTTGCGAGGCTGCTCGTCCGCCGATAACGCGCGTTACGTGGAAAATCGCGGGCGGGCAAGAGACGCGACATTCGCAAAAGCGACGTTGCGAGCAGAGATTTTGTCCTTGCGCGAGCCGACCGAGAGGGCGAAGGAAAAAAATATGGCGACCGACTAGCACCCTCGTATATCTTGACTTTTTCGAAAGCGAAGAGAGAAGCGAATTTTCGCTCGAACGGGGGGCGCGAGGCAGGAGCGAAAGAGGAAGAAACCTCCCCGGACGGGAAATTCGGAGTGGCCGCTAGACGAGCGGCCTCGCGGGCGCAAATAATCGATGTTCCTGCAACTCCGCCGCCGCCCTCCGCCGGGCGCGGCGCCCCGACTTCGGACCTAACCTAACCTACCTCTCGCGCCCACGCGCGGCAAAGAGCATCGCCCCTCTCTCCGGCCCCGCGCGATCTAGGCGAATCCGAGGCCGCGCTCGGTGCATCGTTCGAGGGACCTTTCAAAACTTCAAAATGGCGGATACGGGGGGTTTCCGTCGACTGGACTTTTAAATACCGCGCCTCTCGGGGGGCCGATGGCGGATGCCCCCCGCGGACTCTCCTCTGCGACCTCGGGGCCAGCGAAGGGGAGAATCGCGCGTAAGATCGTAGAAACCAGACGGGAGGGTCGTCGCCGACGCCATTAGCATTGGTCCCGGACGACCGGTTTACGCGCGCGTTTCCACGTGACGTAATCCCTCGGGGCCGTTTCGAGACTCGCGGCGCCGACCTTTCTTTCCGCCGGAGCGAATCGAGACCGAGGGGAAGACGGACCCCGGGGAGGATGTGCCGGAAATTCCAAGGTAGGGGATTGAAAAAAAAAAATACCCACTTTCTAGGCCGGCATGGACGACGACGACCAACGACAAAATTTCAATGGAGGAACGCCATTTTTTTTTTACGCATCCTCGAGCGCTCCTCGTCGAATACCGACAAGTCCAACGTCAAAAAAAAAATTATGGGTCGATTCCAAGAGGAGCTCGACGATCGATATTCCGCGGTCCAGGAGTACCCGGAGCCTGCACGTAGTCCCAGGGTCCCCAATCGCCCGTAAAGATATTTTATCACGAATCGATCCTACGCGATATCCAGCCCAAAGGCTCTGAAATCATCCGCCATCCATCCTAGCAGGGGATGGCTCAAGAAACAAAAAAAAAAAATATCCCGGAAGCAAATCCATCGCTCGGCGGAGCTCGAGAGGGAAAAGTGGAACGCGCGTATCCGCCGATAGCCTCGCCGGAATTTCTCCCATTTCTCCCGTTTCTCTCTCCTTCTTTCTCCTATTTTGCAACAGGTCTCGACGGCTCCGTCTACTCCTCTCCTCGGGGTGCCGGAAAATCGGAAGAGTCTCTCGAACGTGCGAGAAGAAGCCCCTCGTCCGGGCTAATTTTCGGAGGCGCTAATCTTATATTCGGGGTGCATGCCAGAGACAGTGGCCTCGTTCGAGGAGACAATTCAACGAGGACGCGTCCACTTTGCGAGAATAATGGACCGAATGGACTCGCGCTTCCCAGGGAGCCGATAATCCTGGGCCTCCCCACCTCGCCCGACGTCTTCGCGAATAACCGACGGACGGATAATCGTCCTCGCTCGGTGCCAACTCTCGGGAAATCGGCATTAATTGCCCAAGAGTAGAAATTCTTCTCTTGACTAAAGAAAAAAAAAAAAAAAAATCAACTCAAGCGACATCTGCCCTGAGAACAAATCACCGAACCAAAGAAATATTTCTTTGATCAGTCCCCAAAAAATATTCCGTTCAAATTTAAACAATAATTACCTGATTCGAATGAATGCGAATAAAAATTGGATGCCACGATTATTCGGAATTACGACAAGTTTATTCCGAGTCCAATGATTATTCTTCGAACTTTCCTCCCTATCTGAGACGGGAGGTTAAAAGTGCATTTAATTCCCAGCCGAACACCTCGATTACCGGCTGATGATTCAGGACTGCGTTCCGCGCGATTCGCTCCCTAATTATCGCTAATCGACTCGCCTCGGTTTCTGGCCGATTAAACCCCTAAACGCCCTTAAATGGATTTTTCTCAAAGAAAGGACAAGCCGTTCCCGTCCGTTCGAGCCACCTCGAGGGTCTCGCTCGAGGTGAAACATCGAAACGGGTTATCGCGAAGTCCCGTGGGTATCGATCCGCGCCACGCTGCATCGAGGGTCGAATGCGGTTATTTCGGCGAGGGCGCGGGTTTTCCGGTTCCCGACCCAGGACGTGCCGGCGTCGGTCTCCATATTGTAGGCTCGTATTTCGAGAGCGACCTCGGGGTGGGGCGGTCCGCGGTTCCTATCTCGGATGGCCCCGGCCGATAAAGAGGAGATTCGCGCACTCGTTCGCTCGGCCGCGCCGTGCACGGGCCGCGAGGTGTCGCGAGGTATCCGCAAGCCGCGAATCGCCAGGGAATAACCCGTATACCGGGCCAAAAATAACCAGGGATCTCCAGGTGTCGCTGGAAGTCGGGAAGATTTGCCAAGAAAAAAAAAAGAAAAAGAAACACCATCGAGGACGACCAGAATTCGGAACGCGTCGCGGCGGGAAGCTGCGCAAGGAAATCTCGAGAATGCAAAGAGAATTTTAGAAATGCAAAAAAAAGTGCGAAAAATGCAAAGAAAAAATATGGAAAAAATGGGAAAATCAGAAGTCCCGACGCGTCGCCGGGAAACGTCGAGAAACTGGAAGGAAATCGGGAAAGATCAACGTAGGATTTTGAAAATCGCCAGGAACGACGAGGAGACTCGACGTGTCGCATTCCGGGCCGACGAGGGAGACCGGGGGGAGGAAGGGGAGACGGAGAAAGAGAAGAGGGGTCGGGAGGGGCGTCGCCGGCAGTCGGACGCCCCGCGGCAAGCTGTCAAACTACGCCGGCCAGGAAGGCGCACGGCAGGCGGACCGGCATTTTCCGGCGATCAGGATCGATAGGAACCATCGACCCTCGAAAAACACCCTCCGACCGGTGCTGCTCCCTTTTAGGTTAGGTCTCGCCGGCCGAGCCGGCCGAGCCGGCGGAAGAGAACTGCGGCAGACGCGACGCGGATGACGCAGAGGCCTCCTTCCGATCGGGAAGGTCGGACCGATCGATCGCCTCGATGCTCTCCGTTATCAATCCATGGAAATGGATTTTCCTCCGGGGCGATTTCGTCCAGCCGCGTCGCGAGTCCCACCGAGAGAAGCGTCCACCGTTAATATTCCGAATCCACGTCGCCGATAGCACGGAATAATAAAAACGGGGATATAGCGAAACGGAACGAGCGACGAGCGATTTAGCCAGGCCACGATCTCGGCCACGGAATATGAAATAAAAAAAGGAGGGCTTCGAAAGTCCCCGTTATCGTGCCTCGGCGTAGAGGTCGTTTTCCCGGCCACGTTGCTCCGGAATAATCGGCCTTATCGCGGCGCGGCCCACCCCGCGCTTCCTCGTCTCGGAAACGCTCTCGCGTCCGCCTAATCGCGGAAGGGAATTCTTCGCGAATCGAACGGTCGAACCTCGAGACCGTTACGAACCGACCGGAGACGAAACGACTGGAGGGCCCTCAAAATTCGAAAAACTCCGATAACGCGCCGAAGCACCTCCTTTGAAATGCCCCCCTAAATATACAATGAAATAACTACCACCAGATGTTATTCCCAAGTTATATCAACATCGCGGGTAGTCTCCGATAACCGGTGACGTATTCTCCAGGTGACCCATGCCACGCAAGTCCCGACGCGTCGGGATGGGTTCCCGGATTTCCGGACCTTTATCTCGGGGAAAATGAATTTTCCCCCACTAGGGGCACCGGCCACCCCGACTCCCGGTTTTCATCCGAGGGCCCCCATCGCCCGCCCGGATGTTCCAATTTTAAAAGTGGAAAAAAAAGAAAGGAGAAAAAAATCTGCCCAAGAGCCCACCGTACTCACCGAGACGCCGGAGAAACGGCTCGGCGCCTTAACCTCTCCGGGTCGGCGCGATTGGCGGACACCCCTCGGGCCCGACCAATCGGCGAGCCGCCCTTCCCCTGATTCTCGAAATCCCGATCGGCGAATCGACCGTCGCGGGACCGGGGTGACCGGAGGAAAACTCGCCGTAACCCAGCGCCCGGGGCGAGGAGTCGGGCACGCCTCGCTCGGTCTCGTGTCGGGCCGTTCCGGCGGCGCGGCGGCGCGGCGGGTCGGTCGGCCCTCGGGCCAATGGCGGCGCGCGGGCGGCCTCGAGGAATCTCGGCCGAGTCGTACTCACCATCATCTTGTAGTTGAGTTTCCTCGGTGCGGCCACGTTCTCCATTCTCACGGACATGCTAGCGGCCCGGCTCGCACAGGGAGGGCGGCAGCAGCGGAGAGAGAGAGAGAGGCGGTCCCGTTCCGTCGATCCGCGCGCTCGCTCGCCTCGGCCTGGGCAGGTCCGTCTCCGCGCGTCGTCGGGCGGCGGCGCTCAGGGCTCCGCCTCGACGCCGCTCTCCAGGCTCGACGCCGCCGTCGATGCCGTCGATCCCCTCGGCGACGACGATGGCGTGGCGGCGCGCTCCTCGATCTCCGTCGCGGCGAGTGTGCCTCTCCTCCGGGGACAAGGACGCTCCGCGAATCCGCGGCGGCGGATCTCGGCGCTTCGCGCGGCGGCCGCGCGAGGCGCGGCGCTCGCGCGGCGGGAGCGAGAGGGCGCTACCCGCCGGCCGGGCGCGCGAGAGCGAGGGAAGGAGGGAGCGCGGCCCTTTCCGCCGCCCCGTGGAACTCTCGGGCCGCGGCACACGCGACCTGCGTGCACGTTGGCTCCCTCGGCCGGGCTAAGGTCCGCGACGAGGCCCGAGCGTGCGCGCGACCGAGCCGACCGAACCGACCGAACCGAGGAAGGGTGTGTCGCCGACTGCTCTCTCTCCCTCTCTCGGGCTCTCGCTCTTGCTTCGCCGACGTGTACGCGCGTACGCGTCCCGAGACGCGGTACGTGTATGCGGGTAGGAGGCGAACGTCGGCACGGCCGCGGATCGCACCACCACTACGACGAGCGCGCACCACCGCGCACACCCGGGACGAGCGCCGAAATACCGGAGCGGGCCGAGCCGAGAGAAAACCGAGCGATCCGAAGCCGACTTTTCTCTCCCTCTCCCCGAATCCCCTCCGTTCTCTCTTTTTACAGCCGAAGAGACCCTTGTACCCGCTACGCGCACTACTCCGATATGTACACGAGCCTGAAGATATATATATATATGTATATATAGATAACCGTACACCACCGACACAGCACTATTGGTAGAGCATCGTTAGAAAAATATAGTGGATCTTAATAAATAATGTACTATTACGAAGTCGTTAGGAAACATTAGGTATGTGTTCTCTTGAAGGTAGAGTCTAAGCTACTGCCCGGCGAAGTTCGCCCATCTTGCCCGAAACTGAGCGGAGCCGCCGCCAGGGGCGCTCGTGGCGCCGGCGAGGGGCTCCGGCGGCCGCACCTGTCCACGACGCCACTCAACACACTCTCGACCGCGACGGAGAGCCCGGGGTGCGAGCGCGACGGAAAATGCGGAAGACCGCGAGTCCGACCGAGACGGAGTCGGAGAAAGAACTCCGTCGGCGCGCGCACGATGCGGGGAGAGAGCCGCGCCGCGCACCGACGAGGGAGGGACGAGGACGGAGCGAGGCCCGAGTCGGCCGAGTCGGAGAGAGAGCGACAACCTCGCCGGCGCAAGCGCGCCCGCATGGAAGGGGCGAAAGAGGCCGACGCCGGTTCGCGTGCGAAAGCGAGAGAGAGGGGAATACCGCCCGGAGGACCGTGGCACAGGGGCGACGCGGGTGCGCGCGCACCCGGCGAGTCGAACGAGGAGGGGGCCGAGTGCCACCGAGAACGCCGAGGCGAGGAGGAGGGGAGCGGTCGAGAGACGGAGAGATGGCAAAGGCCGTCGGCAAGACGGAGACGGAGACATCCAGGGATGTAACGAGGTAGGGGAGAGAGAAAGAGAGAGGACGGTCACCCCCGCGCGAGGCGGCGGGCCCTCGCCCTTCTCGTCCGCGGCATTGCGACTCGAGGAATCGTTGAAATTTTCAGGAAGCCAGGAGGAAATGCGGAATGCGGGGAGATGCCGATTTTTCGAGCGGAACCCAGCGGGCGCCGAGATCCCGACACGGCGGTCCAGGGAGAGGCTGGACACGGGATGCGCCGAACGACGAGCGGATCGATCATTCGCCGACCCGCGGTGAAACGGTCGATCCGAAGTCGCCGAAGTCCACGGCGTCGCGGCGCCGCTCTCGTTTCCCCAGGACCCGGAGCGACTCGGGGATGCCAAGCCGGGAGCGCTCGTCGTCGACGGCGCGCGTTTCGCGTGCCTCCTCCCTCCGCCCTTCGACCGTAGACGAGGTCACCTGCCGACGGCTTCGACCTTGTCCATGGTCGGCGTTCGGCGGCGGTCGTCGCCGTGGTACGCGGCCAGACGCGTCTTAGACGGACCGGAAAGCGGGCCGCTTTGTTTTGACCGACGCGTATTTTCTCACGTGTCTCCTCTGCCTCTCTCTTTAGCCATAGACAAGGTCAAGGCCGCCGGCCCTCTCGACTTCGCTCCTTCCCGGGCGGATTTATCCCCTCCTGGCCGACCGACTCCTAGACCCGAGAGACGTCCCCCGCCGAGGGACCCTCGCGGGAACGAAGACGCCCATCGTCGACGTCCCTGCCGCGGAATTAATCGCGACCTCCCGCGATACGTCCAAAGATGCGGAGCCAAACGCACCCGCGGAATTCTGCGTCCCGGCCGGGGGGCCGCGGGGGCGGCGGGCCGATAACGGTTCTCCCACCTCGAGAACGCATCCGCGAGCGCCGTCCGAGCCGTCGCGACGTCTCGATAGCGGATACCGAACAACGCGTCTTGCAACGATCCTCTCGACCTCCCCATCCGTGGTCCTTGGAACGAACCTCCGTCTCCTTTGGCCACCGATGGGAGCGCGATAAGGGAGAGACGATTTTAGCCCCGTCAGCGGGGTAAGAATTGGCGAGGAACGTTATCGGCGAGCCCGGACGCCCGAGTCCGAAATGGCCCGGCAGCTCTCTCGATCCCCGGTGTCGGTCGGGTCAGTCGGAAATCAAGGCCGCGCGGTCAATTCCCTGACGACCCTGCGTATAAATAGGCACGCGCGTCCGTATATCCACTTGCTTACATGCGTGCACGCCGTAAAATTGTCCGGGAGACGTACCGAGCCCGTTATTTCGCGGCTCTCCCTAAATCGGCCGAGTCCGAGTTTCGTCGCTGCGTCTCCGTGCGTCTACCGCGTCTCCGCGAAATCGTCCCCTGCTCGAGAGGGACCGATCGCTCCCGGCCTGTATCGGAGTTAGAAAGTGATTTCGTCCCGCGAGCCGAGCCTTCGATCGATCGCCTGGCCGTCGAACCCGCTCGCGGAAATTTCATTCGCAAACGCTCCGCTTAAAAATCCCGCAGATTTATTCGAGCGACCGTTTACTAAAAAAAATTCCCCGGGGGAAAAAATTTCGTCGACGGTGCAAGGGCGAGATCGAGATCGATTTTATATCGTCGTCGTCGTTACCTGTACGCCCGACGTGTAGCCAACGATTGCCGGTGTAGCGTCGACACGCGCCCGCTAAATTGCGCAACTATTTGTCCACGGTCTTAATCTGCCAAGTGCGGTGTTCCTCTAGGCTTCCGTTTCGCTTTTCGAGCTCGTGCACGCGTTTACGTAAGCCCGCGACTTTCGACCTCGGCGAGGCGTCGCGTGCTTTTCACCGATTCGAGCGGCATTTCCCGTCTCCTAGCGATCCTCTCGATGCCTCCTTCGACGATAACCCGACGGACTGCGTCCGTTCGCCGTGATAATGGCGCTAATAATTCCCGCACGCTCTCCCAAGGACCGACGAATTCGACCTCCTTGGCCGAGGAACGTCTCGCGGGACTCTGCGAGAGGTCGCCGAAAAACTCGACCGGGACGTCCCTCGTTCGATTGCTGCGTTAGAAAATGACAGAGAGCAACTGGAGCGATCGACATCCTCCTGAAAAGTCGCTGGAGGATATCCTCGAGGGTGCATCGATCCAGCGAGTTTCGGAGCGGCGAGGGCGGAAGCCCCTCGGCTTCCAGCTGACAATGGCAGGCGATAATTAGGCTTTAACGTAATTACGCGAGTTTAAGAACGGGTACGATAACCACGTGGGGGCTTTGTATCGTGGTCCTAAGACCCGGTATCGAGCGAAAGGTCGCGCTTTTCGGAGATCGCGAGGAGATCGATCGTCTAATATGGCGGACCCGGGGAAGAGGTCGTTCCTTTTTCGAGCACCGCGGCGAAATTCCTCGACGGGACGTCGGATCTCCGCGAAGCGGTAATGGTCGTCGAGGGACTTCTGGCTGGTACTCGGTGCAACGTCAATTGCGCTTAATCGACGATCAATGGCAATCGACGAGTCGACGCAGTGGCGTCAACTATGAACTCGTGGTCCTCGTTTGAGGAGAGTTTTCCCAATGTCGCGTCGCGGCGGCATCGTCGTCCTTTCGAAGTCGTAAAATTCTATTCGTCCCTTTCCTCCGGGTCCAGGGGTCGAATTCGATCGATAGGCCAGATACTTCCGATCAGGGGCCGGACTTAACCCGTTCACGGATGCGGAGCCCTCGCAGGGGGAGCCTCGGCTTCGAGGTACGACTGATCGATCGAAAGGTGGAGGGACTAGGAAGCGGTCCGGTGACTTCCGGTCCGACCTTGGGGCGTCTCTTCGGGTTCGCGGTACACTTTCTACGAGACAAGGGAGAAGAGCGCTTATTGATCCGTCGCGTGTTTAAATAGCCGAACCGCGGCGACGGAGGAACGAGACGTCGGCCGGGAAGCGAGGATTCCTCCTCTCGCTCGCTCCCACGGGAAGCGGCCTCGCTCCCTCTCGCTTCCACCGAGAGAAGCCACGACCGATCTCGGCGGAGCGACACGAATTTTTTTTTTTTTCACAAATTCCAATTCCTTCCGGAAACGCTGGGGAGCCAGATAAAGCCCCTACGAATTCGGCGGAATCCCTCGGAATTTCGGATTCCGCGGAATTTTTATCAGCGAGAGGACGCCCCCTTCCCCGGGATGTATCCTTATATATCCTCGTACACTCGTCCCTTGATTTACGCGGAGTATCCGTTCCACGTGGATTCGCTTGACGCGAATGAAAATCGCGTCGCGTAAAGTGTGTCGGTACAAAGGACCAGATATTGAAAATAAAAACCGCGTAAGTCAAGGGAAGAGGGTACATCCTTGGAAAATCGTCTCGTTTTCGGGCAAATCGGACATTTGAAGCTGGAAAATTGAAGGTTCGCCACCGAGATCGGAGCGAGGAAGAGGGGGGACCGAGAAGCCTCGACGAACGCGATAATCCCCGGATGGCGAGTCGTCGAAAAAAGCTCCGCGCGCCTCTTCCGTCTGGTTCGGAGGGAAAGCCGCCGTCATCGCCCTTTAACGAGAGGCGGAAGGAGGTTTAAGCATTCCCATTGTTCGCCCGTTCGCCCACTCGGCTGCGGGCGATCCCCTCGCGCCGGGATGTATCCTGAAACGCGGCTCGAGGTCATTGCCCGGACGATCTTTGGGGTTGCCATCCCCCGGATGATAAAATACAACCCGGAGCGCCCTGCGCCGTCGGAAGGGCGCGGAGACTGCGCGCGCACCCCACGCCCCGCCGCGAATTGACCTTCGCGCCTTTCCACGCCATTTTGCCTTCGGATTTTTTTCGAGACTCCTCCTTTCATCACCACTCGACGGTGTTTCCGCCGGGCCCGGAGACCGCGTCGGCTTCGAGGCTGTCCTCGAAAATCGATGCCGCGCTCCCGACGAATTCGAGTTCTCTCTCGGGAAGGCGACCGTCTCGGCGGAAACGTCGATAAGGGCAACCCTTTTCCCGGAGAAACCACGCCGTTTGGGAAGGGCTCTTCGACCCTCGCTCCTATCGATTACCTTCCGCGGAAACTGGAGCTACTTCCGGCCTCCTTCGAGGGTCCTTCCCCGCGGGCGTGGAGGACTAACGTCGGGGCTTCTCTCCTCCGAGTCGAACAAAGATGGCGGCGATCGGGGCGCAACTCGGCTAGGCTCGTCCTGTGGAAAGGGGGAGAGGGTCGTCTCCCTCGTCCTGGAGTCCTTTTTCATATTCCTGGCCAGACGGAACGGTCTCGAGGGACGAGAGATTAGGACCTCGCCTCCTTCGCCAGGAGGGGAGGAGGATGGTCTTCTCTAAGGGCAGTGATCGACCTTTCGCCGAGTTCGCTCCGGGCGACGCCGGCTGGAATGGAGTAAGGTCGCTATACGCCTTTCGGGGCGGCAGGACGAAGAGGGAGGGAGCCGGAGCGAGACCGAGAAAGAGGGAGAAGAGAGGAGCTACGCGTTATCGAGCGGCCATTTCCCACAAAGCACAGACGAGGGCAACCACCCCTTAGGTTAGCGCCGCGGCGCTAGACGCTCCGCAACGCGGACGCCGATGCGGTCATCCTCGTGTTTCGGGGGAATCGGGGAATCGAAGTCGCTCCTTTTGCGATTCCTCCGAATTTTCGGAAAGAGACTCCGTATGCGTTTCCTTTGAGTCGTCGATGCCGCAGAGGTCTCTTTTCGGGAGATCGGATCCAAAGGAAACGGAGATCGCTGAGGGGCTCCATTTGAGTCGCGATCCAGGCCAATACTAACCCGCATAAAAACATCGAGAAAGGGCGAAGCGAGCCATCGATCGTTCCCCTAGGGACCCGGCGGGATCGAGACGTCGGGGCGTCGCCGGTGCTCGGACGGAACCGGACTCCCGACTGCTCCTTCGAGTCGAGTTTCCGTTATCGAACGTGTCTCTTTATCCTCTTCTATGGGCTTCGGTTTTCCGTCACCGGAGACGCGATCCTCCGATTAGGATGGACCGACTAGATTTCGGAATCCTTTGGTCAAGTCCTTCGAGGAAAGAATGCATCGCGGATAGAGCGGGGCCACGTGGTCGACCCTTTAAAGATGGCGGACCCGGTGCCCGTCTTCTCCGACACGTGTCGGTTGAACCCTCTTTGTAGCGCTCGATAAATCTAGAAATAGCGTGGACGGATATTTAAGGGCTTCACAGGAATCTAGAGCCGTCGAGGCGTATTTTTCACCGTTCATGTAGTTAATGCAAGATTACCATATCACGGAGGAGCAGGACCACGTGATGCGGTTTCTTTAAAGATGGCGGATCCAGCATTCGATTTAATCGATCATGGAGGGAACGGAAATTCTGGAGCGGATTTCGTGACATCGGAGGCAAGGGGTGTTTCGGCGCGGAGAGAAATTTGGGCTACCGAGGTAGTCTCTGCGAAAAGAGTTCGATTCGTATCGAGTTAGTAGCACGATGGAGGGCACGATGAGTATATCTACGATTACGTGCTACAGGGTGCGTGAATTTCATTGCGCATGACGGTCGAGGATGACGTCCCTGACGAGGCATTTTTAAAGATGGCGACTCCCATGCCGGACGCAGATGTGATGAAAAGTGAATCTTCTACGAAAAGATTACAATTTGGAAACCGAACCCTGGAGGAAGGAGACAACGTGTTTCGACACAATGCTTGGTACGAATCGATTTGGATTTTTCAAGCCTTTCAATGCGAAACGAGTTTGGCGACTTATAACCTATAAGATGCAGTCCACGCAGTATCGGAAAAAACCGCCAGGAGGATCACGCTTTTTGACGAATAGGAATGATATTTATGAATACAATGCATGGTACGAGATTTAGGATGACGTTTGAAATTCGTAGAAGCACTTAGACTGCCATTATTTGACCATATAAAAAATGTTGATTCATAAAATCACTTGTATTTGGGCGTAATAGGTATTGTTAATTTGTAGGGATAACGTAACCTGGGACGAAGACCAGGAAGCACATGCTTTTCGTGCCGTTGCTGATAATTCTTCCATTAAAGCATCTTCTGACCTTGTACAGAAATATGAGGTCGAAGCACACACGAATTGGGATAAGTTTTATGGAATTCATCAAAATAGGTAATTAGTAATTATTCTTTTTTACAAAAGGGACATCTTACTTTTGATTAAAATACCTTTTATGATTAATTCGTTGACACTTCTTATTAGATTTTTTAAAGACAGACATTGGCTATTTACCGAGTTCCCTGAATTAGCTCCAAGAACGGCTGAATCTAATCTAGAGAATCCAGTACGAGTCGTACAAATTAGCGATGGTACATCGGAATTCGTTAAATCCGTTGATGTACCGTCAACTGGAACAACAAATATCTTTGAAATTGGGTGTGGCGTAGGAAATACAGTATTTCCTGTTCTCATGTACAACAAAGATCCTAATTTGTTTGTATATTGCTGTGATTTCTCAAAGATAGCTATCGACATATTAAAGCAAAATCCTGATTACGACACATCCAGGTAAAATACTAATTATATTCCTTTGCATTGTGAACCGAAAACTAAAAATAGTGACATTCCTTTTTCTAATTTTTAAAGGTGTAAAGCATTTGTTTTCGATGCGACGCAAGATGATTGGGCACCACCTTTTGAGCCCGGAAGTCTGGATATAGTAGTACTTATATTTGTGTTGTCCAGTATTATGCCTGATAAGTGAGTAACTATTGTTATGACTTTGAGATAATATTTTCTCAGTGATTAATAAATGAAAATATTCTAGAATGGAACATGTAATTAAACAGATTCATTACTATCTAAAGCCGAATGGATTGGTGTTGTTCCGAGATTATGGAAGGTACGATATGTCACAGCTGAGGTTCAAGAAGGGTCGGTGTTTAGGAGACAATTTTTATGCCAGAGGAGATGGAACCAGAGTGTATTTCTTTACCCAAGGTAAGATGAAATACTTACTTCGTGCTGCATACACTATATTTAATGTCATTTTACAGAAGAAATTAAAAATCTTTTTGGTAATTGTGGTTTTTCGGAAGAACAATGCATCGTCGATAAGAGATTGCAAGTTAATCGAGGAAAACAAGTGACAATGTATCGAGTATGGATACAAGCCAAGTTCCGTAAGTTACCTTAACGCGAATAAATTGTATAAAAAATTGTGAATTTTTATGGACAACGTGCAGTTAATATGTATAAATATACATGCTGTATAGAAGTAATTTGAGGAATAAATAAATTATTTTTTATAAACATTTAATTTACGTTTTCGTTCTCAAAGGATAAAAGGTTTTACCGAACGGAAGCGTGTATGTTTAAACTTCAATGGCTTACAGTTTATTATAATGCTCAAAGAAGAAAGTGGAATACACATACATTGGCCAAGAATAATTCTCTTGGCCAGAAACGACGGTGTTCCACCGAGATCCGTCGAGAAAATTATAATGAGTCAACAATATATGTATGTACATATAAAACAATCATTATTCTAGCAAGACCACATAATATAAAACAATGACCTTTGGTTAATCATTACGTTATTTCAAGTCAGGCTAAGAAAAATATAACTCTTATTATCACCGATAATAATAGTTCGTTTGTATAATTAAAATACTTTTTGCAGCCGCTTGCGGACTTAGGAATATTTATG